TTCTCTACGCTGCTTTCGCAATGAGGCGAAATGTGTCATAAATTACTAATTCAGCTGGTATCTACAATTTGGGATACAACACACAGCCAGTTGGGCGGTTTATGGCAAAAGTAAGCGTCCGTATGTGTGGCAGACTGTCTGCATTCTTGCGGGTCTATGACTAAAATGTCGCTGACGAGGTAATTTTCTTGTTTCTTAAACTGAATGATTATGTTACTATGTATTTGGAAATTAATTGCCTATAAAGTGCATATTTAGAAGAATACTTGTGGGGGCATAAACAATTTTATTTGATTTTCAAAGCATTTTGTGGACAATAAAGAAGAAACTTCGAAGCATAAACAGTTTTGTGCATATGGTTTTAGGAAATTAGGGTTTACTTAGCAAGCGTGTTAGATTGTTATACTTATAAAGGAAATTTTACATTAGTTTTGCTGGTAAATATTTGCAGCGCCGTGTAAGCTTGAAGTGTGAACCCTTACAGACCAACTACAGTTCGTAGAAAGACTTATAATAACTAATTCAAATGTTGCCAACAATCTAATGTTCGCGTGAGTTCATATAATGGCCAATAACGTTTAGGTGGTTTAACTCTTTGAGTGCTATTGATTGCTTGAAAAACAATTTTGTTTTTGAAGAGTGATGAGAGATAGACATATCTCTCCCTTGTTATTCTAGAAGTAAAAGCCTCTCTCTACATCACTTATGCATGAGAGAGCGCTGTAATTAGACTTTCTTCACGTTTATCTACAAAATAAATACTTACGAAGTTTATAATCTAACACAATTTAGTTGTTATAAAGTAATTACTTAGTTAGTTTCCAAATTGATAATAACTAATATATATACATATTTTTCGAAAACCATTTGATAAGTCGATTTTTATAAGTAATTTTCTGGCTAGCTGTAAGTCATGTCACGTACTTGTACAACGCTGAACGATAAGACTTTGCTTCCATATGCGTGGACGTAAAGACCCCTTTGTCCATATATCACATATGGCTTTTTACTGCTCTCTTTAACTACATTAAGTCAAAATCTAATAGGTTACTAAACCGTTTATGAAACCACTCGTCGACCTCTCCAAGACAACATTAAAAATAACAAGCACCTCTTCTTTGAGAACCATTTCATTACTAACTGTATAACAAAGAAAATGCGAAATACTCGATAATACTGGAACATAACTATACTTTCACTCTACTTTTTTTGCGGTTCACCTCGGAAGTATCAGAAATGAAATTTGTGGACAGATATTGATTTGTTTTTTGAACTCATTAAATTATTGACTCTAGACAGATTGATATTAAAATTATTGTTAGAGAAGTTACGAAGCTCTTCAATATTCGCAGATTACCATGAAGTTCTTTATTCAATCGATTAATATCCAAAAGCAGTGAGAAAGAATGCAAGAATGCTTGCACCCGGATGCATCGCAATTTGGCACAAATGAAAAACTTGACATTCCATTTTTCCATAAACAACAACTACCCACAATTAAAGTGCTCGCCAAAAAGGCATAAATAATTCAAAAGCTCCAGAGAGATCAGTTTTGCATAAATTAACATTAACTGAGTGAGAAATTTCCAAAATAAGTCAACCACACTAATCCCAGGGCATTCTAGCCCACTTCCAGTTCACTTAATCCATTTTTATGAGTGGCGCGCTATTTTTAGAGAAAATAAGTTTTGGTAAACGTTTTTCTCAGGAAAACTGCCGCCACAAGGCAAAACAATAATAACAAGGTGCATACATACATCTATACAGAAATATATGCGGATGTGTAAGAATGTATGTGTCTATTCATATATGTTTGTTTGTGTGTATTGCCGCCATTCAACAAGCGATCGCATTCAAATTATAGTTGAGTCACAACAAGCACCTTTCCAATGCCAATGGCAATTACCCGTCGCTTGCGGTCTACAATAATTGTTCTAAGAGCATTTCATAACAAGTTGAGCTGACATACAGATATATACATACATACAAATATACAATACATATATGCACATGTATGTATGTTAAGCAGGGGTATTCAGCACTTAGGTATGATCACTTAGTTGTGCGTGAAATGCGTGACGTCATTGACAGATTAAGTTACTGTGACTCGTGAAGTTCACGCACACATACTAGAAAACAAATAAACATATTTACATATGCATGTATGTGTGTGTTTAGACTGGCTTTCATTCGTGCTCTGGCTTTCTTTCACTTCTAAATTAGTTTGTTATTCTTCTGAGTTCTGAATTTAATTTTAGTTTTTTTTTCTACTTTATCCACTTTTTTAAAGCTGAGCATTAAAAAAACAATAAAAACAAAAATAGCGCGGCCGTCTTTGAATAAAGTAAACAAGTTCTACACGCTCGTTTTGATCATCGCTGGCGATTGAAATTGTTGCAGGTAAATATGTGTGTGTGTTTGTGTGTGTATCTCTGATAGCAGCTGAGTGTTTCAACTGCGTTGCGAATTTGCTCATTCCCTTGCGCTGCCTATGACTTCATGCGATCGTGAGGCAAGCAAATATATTTTTTTGTTGTTGCTTTGCTTAATGACATCATCAACGGCACTGATTGGGTTGATTGCTGAGGTCGCGACGGCGAATTGCGGGTGGAGCATGTGATTGAAATCATATTTTCGATTGGAACGTTTTGGAGAAGAGTTGATATTGAACTGGAGTGTAAACTAATTGCCATATAAGTATACATATAAGTACATATGTATGTATATGCATGCCTATAAGTTTGCAGTTATACAATTTCTTGTTTCACATAACACTTTCAAATTAAAAATGCTTATGTACGTATGTATATTTGACAATATCACACTAATTTCCTAAATAGGTTTCTTTTTCACACTTTCACGCTTTTATCAGCGCTTTTGCTTAGTTTCCAAAAGCAGCACGAATTGCGGTTTGGTTATTTATTGTTTTATGAGTTTTATAACGGAAAGCAAGCGTACATACAAACACATATACATTTATATGCCATAAAACTGCTTCTAGTGTGTTCATTTGTATTTTTAATTGCGAATTCTGTGCAAGTATTTTTAATTTTGTGTATATAAAAAATACATAGTACATATTTATTTATATATGTATATAACAAATATATGAATAATTATATACACAAACACAAGTGTTTCCAAAAGTTCAACAGCTTTCGCTAGTGACTAAAGTTTCAGCAATACACCCTTTCAATTATTTGGTGACGGTCATTTTTTATTTTTGGTGGCTTATCTTTTAAACTGCCACACATTCCTCAATTTATTTGACATATTTATTTTATAAAAAATATTTCTTGTTGTGTTCAGTGTTGCTTATTGATGGCTTAGAATATTTTTTGCTTTGATATTTTCTTTATTTCTTTGTTAGTTTATGTTTTTTTTTTCATTTAAAATCGATAATATAGTTTATATATTTTATTATAATTTTTATTTACTTTATAATTCATACAATTATTATTTTTAAACTGTTACAGGAGTAAGTAATAAAATAATAAGCTATTTAAAAATTTTTAAAAATATATTTTAAACTTTAATTTCTCATGATAGCCAAACTAAAACACTAAATAAGTAGAAAATGTTATAAAAATAATTTTTTTTTTATTTATTGTTTAGTAAAAAACCAGCTTTTTATATAGCTTTTGAAAGAAATTAAGCGTCAGAGACCCTATAAAGTATACATACATATGTATATGTATATAAATTATCAGTGCGACGAGCTCAGTCGATTTAGCCATGTCCGTCTGTCTTTTCGCCTGTATACGCGTGTACTATTCTCTTAGTTTTAGAGATATCTATCTGAAATTTAGCGCACCTACTTTTCTCTCTAAGAAACTGCTCATATGTCGATATTGAACCACTATATCATATAACTGTCATACAAACTGACCCATCTAAATCAAGTTCTTTTCTGAAAACTTTTTTATTATTGTTCAGAGCAGCACTACGATCTCCGAACATATCAAACTGCCATTGCATTTAGTTGCCATACAAACTGGCCGATAAAATCAAGCTCTTGACAAAATTCCCTTATGAAATTTAGTAAATATTGTTCTGCAAGGCAACGCTAGAATCTCCGAACATATTGTGCTAATCGAACTAATAAATCATATAGCTGTCATACAAACTGACCAATCTAAAACAAGTTCTTCTGCGAAAAAATCGCCCAAGCCAAAGCTAATCTTCAAAGAATTTACAAACTGACCGATCAAAATCAGTATAAAAATATTTTTATACTCTTTTATGCTATAAGAAATGCTCCAATAAAGAGTATTATGGCTTTGGAGGAGCCGAAGTTAACGTTTTTTCTTATTATTATTACATTTTACTAAATATTATTTATGTCTTTCTATTGATATGAAACTCAAAAGAACTCAGCATTTTATTATTTTAAATAGTATTTTTGGTTATTGAACACTATTGTTATACTGACATTCAGTATCTATAATTTCAAGTCAATTTCAAAGATATACCTATAGTAAACAAAAATATTTTTATCCGAATTAAACGCCAATTTTTCAATCAAATTACCACAATTTTGGCAATTACTTTTCAGTACTAAAATTTGTTATTTACGTTTATTACTATTTATTTAATATCACATTTAATTTTCACTTCAACTTTGACAATAACATTTAGTAACTCGTTTTGACATTTTTCGGGCAATTTCGGCACCAAAGTCGAGGTTATTGCACAGCTGAGCGCTCACAAGCGCGCACAAAGCGAAAAAACTCAAAACACGGCGGTCACCAGCTACTTGTTCACCGGTTTACCTTCACTAACAACTTTTAATTTTTTATTATTATCTATTTTTGCACATTCAACGTCACTTAACCCCGCCGTATTTTGCATGCACTTAAGTAGTTTGTAAACACATACATTTATATAAACGCGTATCTGTGTGTTGTTACCTTTTTAAGCATGTATGTGCTGACTTCTTGTTTATTTCTTACACAAACAAATTAAATTACTTAAATTAAATGAATTATTTTTGGAAATACCTTTTTTATTCACACTCGAACCACAATTATCGAAATTTATTTCAATTCTTTTTATTAACTTTTTTCATTAGAGAATTTATTTCTGTTCACTTTATTCCGCACACGTATTTGATACAACCAACACGTTTAGCGTTTGAAAAACAACTGAAAACAGAACTCAACGGACGCGCGGACGATTGTTGTTTGGTCGTGCGAATTGTTCGTTTATTTTCTTTGCTTGTTGGCTGCCTGAATGCCGTGAGTGCCTGAAGCAGCAGCGCAGAGGCAGCACCATCGACATCAGCGCTTACCGGTGGCAGCGTGAGTTCCACAATCTGTCACCTTCATCGTTTCCTCCACTGCCAACGCCGTCATACACCACTGGCGCTCACTTTGCCGGCAAATAGCACCGGGCTGTGTGAGCGTCGACGCCTTCGGGGTTGCTGCTCAGTCAATTGCGAAAATATCAACTTCAGATACATTTCAGTTATGCTGGCGGCAGCGCACAGTGGTGTAATGCGTTTGAAAAGGAGAGAAGCGGTGGTAATATTAATGTGGAAAAATATTCTCAAAAGTAAATCTTAAGAGCGGTGCGTTCGAAAAAAACTGTAGAATCTTGCTCAAAAGGAGCTTCTTCGACCTACCAGCCTCATAACCTCCAGGTGTTGACAGCTAGTTTTTTTCGATCAAAAGATGTGATGATGTGAGAAAACATTAAATAAAATCATCGCTCTGCCAGCTAAATTTGGCTCTCAGATAAAAAGGTATCTTAAGGATAAGCAATCACTTTCAGTCAGAGAAGAATTTCTCGAAAGAGAGAACAAGCTTTTGACAGGAATAAGACATAAATAAATGGGCATTACTTTTCTGGAAATATACTACAGGTTTAAAATATGAGCGAAGCCTTTTTCAGATATTAGACCGACAAAATTCAATATAAAATCTTATTTTTCTGAAAAAGGAAATTCTTAAGAAAGATTTGAAATTTTAACTACTTGTAACTTATAAATTTTTGTTTACATATATTCAACCCCACGAATACTTAGAAACATTTATATTTCTTCCACTTTTCATCACAAACTATACCACTGTGCCACCATACCTTTCATCGTTTGACGCTGCCTGTGTGAAGATTGAGAGAATTTTTTAACGTAACATTTCTGCACAACGGCGCTTTTTAAATATGCACAAGTGTATGTGTATGTATATAATTACAACGTGTTGGCGACATCAGTTTAGCGGCAACAAAAGTCCGTCTGTCTGCAATAATATCTGTTGCTTTGTTTTCAGTTGCAATACCCGGCATTCGCTTCAGTTGCTGATGTTGCAGCACACGATGGCGTTTTGTTTACACAAAATAGATACTTTTGTATATATGTACAACTATATGTATGTGTAAAGATCTGTGTGTGTATCACATTGCAACATTGTTGCTTCGTCGTTGAACGTTTGAGTGCTCGAATACTTCATGGAAGCTGATGAATGATGCATTGCATCAGGTCGGCGGCATCACTTGACTTATATTTGAATTGGATTTCCATTTGAATAAGTCTGTTGCATGTGTTTGCTTCCATTCGTTTTCTCTTTTTTGTGCTTTGTTTTTGTAAAGGTATGAAAAATAAATTTAAAAAAATATATGAGGTGGGTTAAACGTTACAGCATACAGCATCTACATCATATGATCTGCAAGTGGCTTGTGATGTGACTTTAATGATATTGTTTAAATGATTTGACAACTCTTTAAATTATTAAATATACTTTTTGGATGAAAAAAACTAGCGAATAATAATTAAAAATAGCCAGTGATGCCATGAATACTACATTATTTCAAGTTTTGATACTTCTTTATTAATATTATAGTAATTAAATTAAAATTATATGCCGCTTTATTGCCGTTCTCTTGACTTTTTAAATTCCGATCATGCTTTTAATGCAGCACCCTAAATGTAGGCAATCTTTTTAGCATACACGCATTTAACTAGTACACCTTACATCCCCAAATTACCGACAATAACGAAGCTAGCGACTTGTTTCAATGAAAAAACACTGAGAATACAGTGTTTTTTTAACGGTTTATAAACCCTGTTAACCTCTTAAGTTAAGGTATGGTACTATAGCATACTTGTATGTATGTACGAGTATTTGTAAGGGTTGATTTTTTATTTTATTGGTATAACTTTAGGAATGCCTTCACCGTCAAAGGAAAAGTAGCGGGAAAGTCATATATGTAAGCATTTGACACCCATGCGTTAAAACACAAAGCCACCCTTAGTATTTTTTTAATTCTTTTACGCATATTTAATGAAGCTTAAATGGAAATTTCACATCTGTCTTTTAACTGTCACCTATTGCAACGGCTTATTTACATATGTAAAATCTCTAGCCTTTGGACAATAAAAATACGGTTATCAAAATAATAATGAAAGCTATATAAATGTTCATCACAGAATAAAAAAAAAAATAATTAAAATCTGTTAATTTTTTTTTTCAAAAAAGGCGTGTTTTAAAGTTTTGAACACCAATTTTTATTTAATACTTTCGGTATTAAGAGTTATCAATGCATCGCAACTAAGCAGAATGGCAATACCGATATTAGTCTTATTATTAGAATAAAAAGTTTAAAAAAAAAATTTTGGAAACCACGACTTACATTAATTTCCTGTCAAGCATAATAGATGTTGATATTGTGACAGTATCGTTGTTACTTTTTGGGGTACTTTTGATAGAAAACTTTATTAGTCCATGACGTCATGATCGAAATGAGGTTAATTAAAGTTTGGCGCTCCATTTATGAAGCTATAAAGCAATGTAACGCGGTGCGGAGAGTCATGAATTCTCTTTGATCTGTAAGTTCGAATAGAGATCACATCGCCTCAATAGCACCCAACAGGATCCTGGAATATATCAGAGTGCTGGGCCTATGTGAACCTGTGTGACAGAGGGGAGGACTCTGTGGTTCGCGGTGCAATCCTCAATTTATTTTTATTCTATTCTAACCCACTTTTTTCTCTGTTATTCTTCCTTTCATATTTTAAGACATAAGGATAGGTAGGGATAGCTTTCTACATTTTTTCATTTCAAACCTAATTTTAATTTGTTATAATTACCTTTGTCGTAATTAAGTGCTATTACGAAATTGCACATTAAAAATTTTTGAATTCGCAATAGGCCACAAACAATTGCCGCATGCTTTTATTTTCTATTCGAAAATAGAGTTTTTTTATTTAGATCATCTTACATAAATATACATTTTTACATATGTACATTCATACAAGGACTATTTCACATACTTCCGACAGTTGTGGTCACTGAAATACGCACTGGACTTTCTATTCGCTAATACACTTCCCACTATCTGCGCTTTCTCATAGCAAAATGACTTAATTTATTGGCTAAGAAATAATTATTTTCCCATCGAAACTCGCGTTTACACCATCCAACATGTCTGGTGTTCGAGAAACAACTAAAAATATTTGATTACTTTGCCGTGAGTATCGCTCGCTTGTTTGCTAACCGCTGGTCGGTTGAGCACCCCACTCATCAGCATCGGCGTAATGCATTACAATTCGTCATCGCGTCACCGTTGCCGTCAGCCACCAGTGGCATCCACTTTGCCGGCAAACGAAGCAGCAACATCGGCGTTAGCTGGACGAAATGGTGTTCATGCTTTCCACAATGCGGAAAACTGCAAGCTTCAGATACTTGTTGGACTGCCTGCGGCCGTACACAGTGGTGTAGACTACGTGACAAATTTCAAAAAAGAAAATGGAACTAACTTTTTATTCTTAAATTTTCTTTAACGTAATACTACATTCGTATATACTATGTACTTAATTGACAGATTTATACCTCTGTGGAATTGAAAAGTCAACCACCAAAAGCTTCTAGCACGAAGTGTCAATTCCCATGCTGCAGCGCTGCACAGTGTTTGAATAAAATGTTGATTAAAAGATAACTCAACATGCATAAAGATTTTTTTAAATTATTTTATTTAAAAATGTAAATAATATTTTTAAATTAAAATGTTAAAATAAAAGGTTGCCACCTCGTTGAAAATTTTAAATTATGCAAAAATTATAATATTAACAAAAACCTGAAAGGGCCATTTTATGGAGTGGGTATCAAAATTATGAAGTTGAAGCTTACTCTTAAATAAATTTTGAGCACCGTTGCCACTTGTTTTGACAAATTAAATAATTCAATAAATTTAATACGATAAATATGAATACTATGTTAATATAAAAAGGTTTAGTAAAGCTACCAGTTAAAAATATGTTTGAGAAAGGTTGCCACCTATTTAAATATTTATTATGAATAAAATATTTCAATATTTTCTTTTCATGCGCAGTTTATTAAAAAAAAAAACTTTTCAGATATTTTTAAAACGGGTGGCCACTTGTTAGACCTAACAAATGGATGAAATAAATTAAATTTGTTGGACAAATCTACAAAAATAATTTGGTTTACTTCCAAGCTTTTATAATAATATGTTAAAACATCATGTGACGTGACATCATGTAATCTGTTGCTGTGATGTGATAGTGATATCATATGATCCGAAGATGTGATGCGAAATTAAGAAAAAAATAATTTTATAGAGTATAAAAGATAGGATCTCAACTACTCACATATGTTTATTCCCGTTTGAGGTATATCACGTGTGATAATTACGGTATCTATTTTGCTCGCAATTACAAAACATCTAATTATCGTAACGCCGGAAAGTTATAGATATAGCACATTTACATACAAGTATATATATTTACATGTCATTATACATACTATATACAATTTATGTATGTAGGCACATTAACAGCTTTTAAACATCGAACAATGAAATTGCTTTTCCACCTCAACTTATGCACATTAACCATTGTTTTGAGATAAATTGCAACTTTCTATTTGTTGCTGCGCATTCTTGCAACCACTTTTCAGCATCTCATTAGAGTGCATATTTTTAAAACGGAAAACTTAAGACTTTGTCTTCAAACACCCACTTACTCTTATTTTTGTACGAATAAGTGTGTTATCATATGCAACACAAGAAATTTACATACAAGTATGTTGCACGCATTAGCATAAATAATAGTGGCGCATTTTGTGTACATTAGGGTTGTTCTACTTACTTTTTCTGACAGTCTCGAAAATGTAAACTTTTCCTGTACTATGAATAATTTTAGTTAAAATTGTACCTAATATTCACCATTTGAGATTGTAACGGAATCTACACAATAATAGGATTTCACGATCTCTGATGGTAACTGCGATATGTTACTGACTTTCTGTCAAGAATTATGGCGTGAACTACCAAAAGAAAAGAAAAAATATATATAATATATGGAGCAATAACGTAATATCTTCATGGCTCAGGGTATGAATTTGTAGATCTTCTAACGTAACTCTTGCAAACTCAAATCGAGAAACATAAACGTTTACTATATATCCATATATGAAGAACTCATTCTTTAAGTGAGTAAGAAGTACAGAACTTTTGTTCGACCGCTATATATTATATTAACCGTTATAGTACTGGTGCACTGACCTTTATCCAATTATACCAACGAATATCCACCATATTTGTTGTTTAGGCCAGTTTGTGATATTTCCATTATTATTTTTAAGCTTCAAGTACAAACCTGTTTAATTCGCTGTGAGAAATTCGATTCCTTGTTAAATTTTAAATAATTTAGATAATTTTTAAGGCCTCTAGACTGGTCTAACCCCTTAAATGCTTTTCAATTGTCAAATTTATGTTGGTTAACTAAGAAGCTCACCTTTTTTCCTGGAACGCTCTCCACATACAACTGCGCAAAACATATGCAACGGGGATATCACAGCGATGTTGCAATAAAATTATGCACATCCGCCGCCCAAAGTGGTGCGCCTACTCGTCTGATAAACTAGGCAAGCAGAAATGTGCGTCCACATGAATATGAATGTGTATATGTGTATGTCTTTATGCACGAAAGTCATCGCCTACAAGCTTCCACCGGTCAATGAATCAACGAGTAGCGGATGACAACGGTACTTATTGTTGTTGTAGTTGTCTCAGTGATCGCGTGCCACCTTTTACGCTGTCATATACATATGTACATACATATGTACCTATATTGTTTTTGACTCTTGACAGCGCAAATTTTACGCCGTCCAACTTGATTGGCGCAAAGTGTAAACAAAAGCAGATTTCAACCAGTCAACGCTTGCAATGCGCCAGCAGACAGATAACCAGAAATCGCTTAGTTCACGAGCACCAATTTGGTCCTATGATTCTCTGTGGAACAGTATAAAACAATAAACAATGAATAGAGAGACCAGCAACAACAACAAGAAACTTCCCGGCAAGTGCGCGACTGGCAAGAAGACTCTTGACATTGAAAAGAAACAAACAAATGCGACAAATCCAGTTTACTGCTTTCAGTTCGGCGGAGAACCGCTGCAAATTCTACAGTTCTTGATGAGCTAATGCTTATGTATTCAAATGTGTGTGTGTAGCAGGAAGATTTGCGCTTAGTAAAATACCGTTGTTGAGGCAAAAGCCGATTTAGTTGCTGTCGAGACGCGCATCAAGTCGCAACCAAGAATATTCGAGAGGACGCGTGAACGCACTGAGGCTGCGCAACGGGTGAACAGTGAAATATACATACAAACATACACATACAAACATACAAATTTTAATTAATCTAGAGAAATTGCAAAAAGTCAGTGAAAGAAAGAATGTGGCGCACACTTTTTGCAGTCGCCTTGCTCGCCAGTTGCATTTGCGAGAATTGTGAGTTGCAAGTGAATTTAGACTCATATAAATGCATTTACCATGTATATATAGTATATATTTACAATAGATATACTATACTTGTACATCAATGTACATATATGTGTGAGAAAAATATTGAACAAAAAAAATGTTTTTGAACTGTTTCCATTAGCTCTCGCGCAGGATGCTTTACGTGGTATTCATTTTCCCAGCGAGAGCCATGATGACGCCTGCTTTGTGGATGCAGCAAAGAAGGTGCGTGGCACTTGCAAAAATCTGGCTGAATGCGGCTCAGCACTGCGACGTTGGAAGAATCAAAATATACGCCCACAAACATGTTACTTCAATAAATTCGAGCATATAGTTTGTTGTGAAATCGAAAGAAGCCCCATATTGGAGCCGATCCTCTATATGAAACCCATGCAGGTGAAGCGGCGTAGTGAAGTGGGTGAGTTCCGCCATTTAAGATTATGTGCGTAGTCTACGAAAACAAATTTTAAAAGGAAACGAAAATTTCGATGAAGACCTTTACTTCAATGCTGCATAACTGATAGACTTTTTCTTGTAAGAAATGAGTAGGAATGTTCGTAATTGTAAATATAATATTTTGTTTCGCCGCGCTAAAGAGCCTCTAATAACTGTCCGTGAAGAGAAAGGTTATTGTACGACTTTATCTAACAATTCACTGTTTAGAAATACCAAGAAACTTATACATCTGCTTGCAATAAATCGTTAGAGAAATCAACCAGAGAGAAAAAGTACTACAAGTACTTTGCAGCCGACAACTTAACCGAAAAATATAACTTGAAGGATATATTTTTGCTCGAAACCCTTTTCTGACAATTTCAAAACCAACCCCTACATTCTTAGGCAAATCAACTCTACCAGGAGAGGAGTGTGCTCCAATGTATTTAGCCAATGTTATTAGCATAACCAAAACTATTTTCGACTTTGTTTTTGCTTTGACAACAATAAATACAATCATCTTTTGAACCTTCCCGCACAAATAACCTAAAGGTAATTCGAGAGTCGAAGAAATTTGTTGGGCTTTTTCATGCCTTTCTTACTCAAGATAGTCTTGAATACAACAGACCCTTAAACCAGCTACATATATGCGGTAGTTTTCCAAGTTAGTTCGAGAATCCTTTACTCAAATGTACTCACATTCTAAGAGATCATGCTGACGATTTCAATTACACAACCCTACGTATCTGCCACAATTAGGTGCCTTATTCCCGCCATGATTCTAAAACCAAACAATAAGCAGCAAACGCCTGGTCGACATTCTACTTTGTCAGTAAAAGTTATAAGAAGAAAAGAAATTTTGCCTGCTATTTTGATATCCTTTACTATAATCAACATATGGGCCATTGAACGAAGAATGTTCAAGAATCACTGATATAGCCAAAGCCTTCAGACGACTGACTGTGATGCATTCTATCTAATAGACTGAAACGTTGTTTTGAGACCACTCTAAAGCCAGCTAAACCTTTAATCACAACTGATTCATAAATGCATATTCAAAAATAAGCGCAATAAACAAAATAATTAAATTTACCAACTCATCGTATCATACTCGTGCTACGGCCATCTTGAGTGCAATTTCGAAATACATTCCCATTTCTCCGTGTTTTCCGCTTTAATTGCGCTGATCCCTATCACAGCGTGCAATAAGATAATTGTCTTGTTTAAATGCGCATAATTAGATTCAATTGGTTGTGTGCTGACAAGTGTTGCCCCATGAACTACATACTTTCTTAACGAGTGTAACATGCAACATGCTTTTAATAATGTCGTTGTCTACAAAGAAACGTTAGCTCTCAGTGTTAGGCTACTGCGTTTGATTTTTTGTATGGAGAATGTGGATTAATATAATATATTACTCGGCAAACGGACGATGCTTTGAACAGCTGATGGGCTAGGGTTGGAACGATACCAAACAAAACTTTTTGTCCGACAAAAAAGGCTTAGTGAATTGCACCAATGTAAAAAGGCACTAGATTGGTCGCGTCAAAACTCACAGGGTTTGTTCGTGTTGGTTAAAATACCACTTAAAAATTATGAATGACCTTCATATAGTTCTGTCTATAGCTATACTATTTAGGTTATAACAGCCATATGTTCCGTTTCAACGATCAATTCACTGATAATGATAAATTCAGCGTTATAAAGTATCTCTCTTGACTCTTGGAGCGACTCATACTCTACTCAGTACGGAATTAGACGAAATGTAGAGATGTTGAAGAACGGTTGGCTATAGGTGGCAGCTACACAGATGGCGATATCACAGATGTTGTCATGTAGGTAGTTTAAATAGATTTGATCTCTAAAAACAACTTCAAGCCTATCAGTGAAAAATTTTCATAGTACTTGATACAATACATATAATATATATATTAATTATTTAATACAGTAAATCGTAGGGCGCTTATAGACGGCAAATACGAAAACGATTCAGCGCCAAAAGAATACGAATAAGAGTACTGCAAATATATACTTGAAAAATTTCCGAATAACCATAGTTAAAGCCTTTCGAAAACCTCAACAACAAATAAAATGAGACATTTGTTTGACACTTGAAATATTGGCGGGATTAAAATATGTTTCAGGCTGCGATTAGTTTCCTTATGAGTAAATATTATAGTTTCGTCAGATTTGAGAGGTTTATGAATCCTTATAAAAACAATGACAACAAAACTTTAACAATTTTAGTTTTAAGTATTTATTGAGCTAATCTTCTTCCACAGAATGTGAATCCCAACATGGCAGCAACTTTTACATAACCATTGTGAAAGGTCAGGCAGCAGCGGCCAATGAATTTCCCTACATGGTAAAATTTTTAAAAATCTTTTTTTGTAAATATTTCATATATGCTTTTAACAGGCCGCAGTGGGTTGGGTGTCGAATACGGATAGAAGCAGCGCGTTCTTTTACTGTGCCGGGGTGTTAATATCACCGCAGTTCGTCTTAACGGCAGCACATTGTACCGGTTTGGGAGGGTAAGTGCATGCAGCGAAATCTCATTTAAACGTTTCAGCACTCAAATAGCAAGTTTCTAAATTTTACAGACAATCACCAACAGTGGTGCGCATCGGTGGCACTAATCTCACCGATCCGAACACACCCAACATACCGATTAAGCGCATCATAGTGCATCCAAGTTATCGAAGTGGCTCTTCATATAATGACATTGCGCTGTTGGAATTGGAGCAGGGAACAAGGTAGAAAATACACATATGTAAATGAACATTTGAAACTCAAGGCTAAGCACATAGTGAGACGTCAAGTAGAAGACTAAAACTTACCGATTCAAACAAGGTTAGGTTGCCGAAATAATAGTCCATGGTCGGATAAAATCCAGGTCATTTCGGGTATTGTAGAACCGGCTGTTGAATTATATTATGAAATCTGCATGCAATGAGTCTCCACATGACACCACCAAACCACCTCTTTACGTGCCCAACGAACCCCACTCATCTAACACCTATTTCCCTATGATCCGACCCCGTCGAAACAGCTCGTTTCCTGGGCCTCTCATTAGATGACCTCGAGGACAACCAAACTGAAACTTACCACCCAAGCGGGGATTAGATAACCGTTAAAACAACAACAACGTCAAGTAGAATAAGACAGTTTAGCTGGATAGCGGAAAAATAGCGGGAATGTTCTGGCATCCGTTACATTGCTTTATTAATTTCTTTTTTTTTCGCTACCTCTATGCCCTGTCTAACAATCAAAAAATTTTGCTGTTGTAATTTTTTTGCTTACAGACAAAAACCTGCCTGCTTATGGAACCGATATGATGTGCCTCATAACAATGTGACGGCGCTTGGCTATGGACATACACAATTCGGTATCCTATACCTCTATAAATGATTATATTAATGTAATTTCATTTTCTTTATAACTTTCAGCTGGCGCAAACTCGAATGTTTTACAGAAGGCCATCTTATTTCTCATACCCAGCGATATTTGTCAACGCTACTATATGCCCGATGAGAATATATTGCAACAAGGCTTGGCGAATACTCAGATTTGCGCTGGTGATCAGGAAAATCGTCGCGACACGTGTCAGGTGAGCGAGCAACCATTCATTTAATTTCCAAACTTCAAACAATAATCTCTTCGCAGGGTGACTCCGGTGGTCCACTTATCCTGAAAGTCGATCGCGACATCACCTATTCGTATGTCGTGGGTATAACGTCATTTGGTCAAGCTTGTGGTGGTGCTCCGCCGAGTATTTACTCGCGTGTTTCGGCGTATATTGACTGGATAGAGGATATCGTATGGCCCATAGCTCAGTTGAGTGGTTTCGGTGTTAACGGTTGATGACGTCAATTTAGCACCGCAATCTAACAGTTGCGAAGATTATTAATTTTAGTTCTTTAGTTGTATTCTACACTTATTATCGAAAATAAGCTTATGTCCAATTGCACATGCCTATTGATCATACATAGAAACTTTCTAAAAATAAAAATTACATCCTCATTATCCTTAAATTGTGTGTATTTTATTAATAAATTCAGGTTTCGTAAAATGAGATTAAGATATAATCATACTATGTTTGATTGGGTTCAGCTAAAATGGTGTAAGCTTCTAAAAAGTTTAATGGTTAAATGGAAGGAAGGAAACTGGTACTAGCGAGTTGTACTCGTAAGCCTCTCTAGAGATAAAGTTATGGTACCTGGCTTACAGGCTATTGCAGGTTCAAATTACCGTCGCATCTGAGACATGGAGTCGGAAACTCTGAACCAATTTCCTCTTGTTTGCGTAGCTCTCAATAGAGGGAGCAAAATCCACCAATCTCCAAATCCAAGCAGTGGTCATATTACCCATCTGGACTTAAACACAATTCATGATATTTATTAAAATGATAGAACTGGATGTAGGTCCTGTAGTTCCCCATCCGTACCTTGGAGTGGAGATGGGGAGGAAATTGTCTTTGATGGTGTTTATATTTTAGGTTTGACTACTGGAAGCATCTTTCCGATTTATCACACACATATTTTAAAACTGACCAGCAACAAATAGAAAACTTGGAATTGATATTTTACTCTCTTGCCTGCTTAGCGATAAATTGAACCATCTACTTGTCGTTATACGTACCTGTGAGGAGTTAAACGTAAATTTATATCTAAAAAACTTCTTTGACAGATTGAATAGAGTTTGTCGATTGACCGGAGCTTAATCAAATTAGACGGGAGTAATAAAATATTCCGATGACCAAGATATTTTCGTGATTAGTATTTTACCAATTGTCGAATCTTCGTATTGAGGTTCAATACTCAGCCGGTTAAGGGGCCAAACCAATTTTTTTCCAGAGATTGAGTAAAAAAACAATTTCTTCGTTTTTCGAAATCAGCCTAAAAATCGAAATATATGCCTTAGAATTTCGAAATTGAGCTCTTTGATAACATCATTCTTAATTTCAAAAAAAAATACATATAATATAATATATAAAAAAATATGGGGTCATCTACGTTTCTTCTCATTCCAATAGTGTACTATTTTGCGATTAAGCTCAGTTGACAGATGTTATAAGTTTTCAAAGACTGGTCCGTCTTTTTAAATATTAAACTAAGCTTTATTTTTTTTCGAAGATTCGAAATATCGTGGAATATGGCAGAATTTCTGTTATGCTCCCAGAGTAGGAAGGATTGGTGTCTTCATTAAATTCCGTGAAGCCTAGCCAGTCAGCTTCGTTTAACTTTACGAATGTAGAATTAACGACGATCCAAGTAAATACTGCTCAGTTATTGTAATTATTATTGTTATTGTTGTAGTAGTAGTAGTAGTTGCGGCAGAAAAGGTTCCTGGAGTAATTTCGAGGAATGGTGTATTATTTTTGTTATCGTCACTACTGGTCTAAACCATTTCTTAGACAGTAACAAGATGTAAAATAAAAGAGAGTTTTTAGTTTTTACGTATACCTAAAATAATTAGGCGATTTTTCAAAACTTTTATTGTTTTTTTTGTTACGCTTTACTTGGTAATTTTTTTCTTTGAATATTTTCTAGCGTATTTTCATTCATATTAATTTTACATTTTTATACAATGTTTTTGTGTTTTTTTTTTAAGTTACGTTAAATAAAAATTTTAAATTACACGAACTAATATTTATATTATTAATATGTAATGCTTTTATATGTATATGTATATATATATATATATATATATATATATATTTATATATAAGTAAAATTACAAATTTCACATATTCTTCAACGATCTTTTTTGTTTGTGTTTGTTTTTGTTTTTGTATTCATCTGCAAATATCATACTTCGACTTTCGCACTATTTAACTAGACTATATTATACATATGTATATAATATATGTATATGTAAATGTTCGCTTGTAGACTTGTATAGTTGTGTGTGTATGTGTGTGTGTTTGTGGGAATTTGTGTGTGAAAGAATTCAAATGTTTTAAAGAGGATTTGGCGTACATTTGTATTTCAAAAGAAAACTATTTCCATTTGTGGAAATATATTTATTAATAATTAATTAGTTTTACATGTTGGCTATCCTCTAATTTCATCACACATACATACACATCATTATTGCTAATCGAGAGCGAGAAAAAAATATTTACTCTTTTACATCTAAAATTTCTATTTGATGTTTGTATACTTTGTAGCATGTTTGCTTTTGTTTTTGTGTGTTTTCTTTGTATGTACATAGTTGCTAAGTAACATTAGTTGCGAATTAATTATTTACTTAAATATAGGTAATTATCATCATGCATGCAAAAGGTGTGTGAGTGTATGTGTGTGGGTGGCCTAAACGTTCGGGGTTTTCATTGAATTTAAATTCACCTTTGTTTGTTGTTTGTTGTTGTTTTTGCTTTCGAATGCACAATGTTTTGTCTGTACACACACATTTGACGAATTAGATATTACGTTACGTTACGTTAAGTTCGAGCTAAGACAGCACAGTTGCTTTGATATTACATAATGCAGTTAATTTGCGTTGTTGTTGTTGTAGCTTTTGGTGCAACTACACAACTAGTTACAGCCACTGCAGCGTGCGCAACTCAATCGTTTCTCTTAATTTTTATTTGATTTTTGAGAATTACGCCATGTCCAACGAGATAACGGTGCATACTACTACTTACTAAGCCGCGCTTGTGTATTTGGATTAAAAATTATATTTTTTTCTTAATTCAGTATTAAATCCGTATTTTGTATGATTTTATAGGAAATGCTTTCGATATACATTTTTGCTTTGATTTTAATTTATTTGGATTTCATCATTTTTGCTTTATATTTTTGGACACTATTTAAAATTCATTTCTAAAAATTTACCACACTAAAATTATATTTTTTATTATAAAATTTTTTAATTTTTGTAAAAAAAAAATTGATTTTTTGTCAAAAACTACAATTTTCGTTTTTAGTGTTTACAATAAATTGCTATATAATGCGGCGTATACACATTAGGTGACCCTGTTTGCGTGTTAGGCGGGTGTATTTGCACAAACAACACTTGAAGTTACGATTTGGCAGAAAAAAAATTGCATACATGTTTTTTTTAATTTACAAAAAATATTACGAAAATGAAATTACAAAAAAAAGTGTTACGTTAATAAGATTTCAAAAAAAAAAAAATTATATTACGAAAATAAAATTTCAAAAAAAATACGAAAAGATGCTGAAAGAATAAGAATTTTTGTTCGTAATCCCGTAAAAAAATTTGTTTCTTTCCTCTAATTTCTACATAATTTTAAATTTTCAAACGAAATGTATATATATTTTTTTCAAACGAAAATCAATTTTTTTTTAATTTTCAGACAAAAACTATTTTTTTTACTTTTCGGACGTAAAATAATTCTTTTTTACTTTCAAACGAGAAAAGCAATAATCTTTTTAGTTTTAAAACCAAATATTTTTTATTTTCAAACTTTTTTCTATTTTCAAAAATTGAATTTTCAACAAAAAATACTTTTAACATTTTGTATTTCACGTGAGAAATGATTGAAAACTACTGAAGTTTGCAGTTTTTAATTTAATAGAAAAAAAGAGTTCAGTTTGAAAAGTACATCAGCAATTATTTAAAACATAAAAAAATTAATAAAAATTTATCATTAAAAATTGTTAAAATTTGTTTAAAGATGCGATAAAATCTATGCTTAATTTATTAATTTTTGATGATCGAAAATAATGTCTGCAATTGCTTTATTGTTTTTATTTATGTGCACATTTCATATTTATACAACAAAAAGTTTTTGTTTTATTACTTAAATTTTCTAAAAAAAAAAAAAAATAAAAAAAAAAAAAAACAGCAATGCAATGGACAAAACGCGCATAATTCTCTTATGTCATTATATAATATATGCAAATTCAAACATTTAACGGCAGAATGGCAAAAATCGAGCGAGATTTAAGTGTTAAGCGCGCAAAGCTGCATGTGCCACAAAGCGATAGTTGCAAATGAGCGTTCAAAAAGTCGAGAAATTTATATATACTATATATATAATACATACACACTACTCTTATGCGCCTAAGGTTAGTTTAGTAAAAGTAAGTAAGAACGTCTACAGCGCGCACGCATGCATAGACCAACGAGATATTATATGTAGAAACCAAAATATATAATATTTTACACAACTAATGTCTATTTGGAAACAAAAACGCATTAAAGTAACTAATTAAAACTAAAAAAAAAAAAAAAACGCATGATGTATGGACGCATACTAAATAAAGTTGACTTCAAAATTACTTCTAATAACAATTTAACCAAAACTATTGGCAGCGCTAGTGCTTTATACAAGTGGTCAAAGTTGCATTAATTATTTTTATTTTCACACACTCTGCGCCATTAAAATTCCTATTTTTCGCATTCAACATATTTTCAGCTTTTACCTCATCTTCTGATCTTTTGACTAGCGACATCGCTTCGTGTATGTAATTTACGCTTAAATAAAATTAGACGGAATTTCACAGCTTAACTTAAATACTAATTAAATAAGGTAGTAATATAATAATAAATATACAGTGTGTGTGTGCAAAATGCACAGTGCAATTTTGTGGGAGCATTATACATACAAATTGTAGGAATAATCAGCAAAGTAGTTAATTACTTGGCTTTCTTTAAATTGCACAGCGGAAAATCGTTTTCAAGGGCCGCAAAATATTTCATTTTAAAATAACGCTCACAACACACACTTGCACTACGTTGCGGCACAATTAGTACGTTTTTAAATCGTTTGCGCACGTTCGGTAGCAAGTGCATTTTCAATTTCAAAAACTCGCACCACTATTTAGTTCGGCTTGACAATCTACGCTTGCTGGTTGTTATGACTTATATTTTAAATACTATGTTGTATATACTCTTACATACATATATACTAAGTATATATTGGTATTGGTAAACGCTTTAGCTCATACAAAGTCTTAAATGGTTATGATATTAGAACAAATAAGTCTATGAATTTGCGTAAAACTACATTTGTTGTTATTGTTGCTTTTGAAGTCTTCAGCAAAAAAAAATTATTGAAAAAGTGCTTGACACGAACAAATACACGCACACATTAGGGCGGCGCATGCGGCGTTTTAAATAATTTTTACACATTATTTCTTTTTCTGCTTGATTTTTTTTTTTTTGCGTTTTTGTTTGTTATTTGCTATTATTGCTTTGTACCGTGCAGCACAAAGTGACACTTTTGCTAAGCTGAAATCTTAAAAAATTAATTCCATTTATAATTTAAAAATGTAATTAGTTATGTAATAACGTAATAGTAATCATTAATTATAACAGCATTTTATATATGTATATAGTTTTTTTTTGTTGTTGTTTATATGAATATATATGTATAAATTGCGGCAGCAGCGAAAATGCTGCGCAGGCGGCATTAGGGTGTCCGAAAATCGAAAACTGCGACGGCGCTTTGCCGGCAGCGACAGGGGCGTCTGATAAGAAGGGACATTGACCATATTTCATGTATGTAACTGCATGCGTATAGTGGTGAATTTAATTTATACATATATAAACATACGTTTGAACATAATTTTAAGTTTGGTTTAAAATGGAAATTTATATAATAATAATAATATTAATAATATTAGTAATAATAATAATAATAGTGATGATAGTAATAATATTACAAACAATTCTTGCACTTAATTAGCTAATGGCTTGCTTATGTTAAGTAAAAATCTTTAATTAATTTGTTGATTGTGAAACTTAGCTAGTAACGAAATGTGTAAAAATTAACGACTGTATCTAAGTAAGTAACTAAGTAGAGCTTTTGTTGTGATTGGTGTGGTTGTTGTTTTCTAATAGTCGTTTCTAATTACGTTTGTTTTTGAGTGTTGTTAATCGCCCAAAAGTAAAAAAAAAAACAAAAACAAAAGCAAAAATCATTTATTGCTATGCCTGAATCTCAACGCCGCCCAACGAAGGAGAAAACCAATGTTACGAAAACAAAAGCTATAACGAGCGCACCTACAGTGCATGTAAACCCTAAAAGAAAATATCGAAACATTACACGGAATACTCAAAACTCATCACTTGGCTTGCGAAAACTGACGCTTTGAAAAATTATTTTTTTTTTGTTTTGCGTGTAGAAAGCTTGTGGGTATGGCCAACATTTTCCGAACGCTTTAAAGCAAACGCAAATTCTTCACACATCACAAATAGAAAGGGGCGCGCAATCTCATATCAGATAAAAAAAATTTAAAATTTAAATACATTTTTTTTATTAACCACTTTTTTGTGCAAATTTTTAGAAGTTTTAGAAGAAAAACAATAAACTATAATAACAGATAAAAAAATATTAATGAAGTTTTATAAAAAAAAAATTTTAAATAAAAGAAAAAAATTATATTAAAAAAAATTTTTAAAAAAATGTAAAAAAAATTTAAAAAAAAAATTTAACAAAATTAAAAAAAAAATATAAAAAAATAATAAAAATAAATTAATTATTAATATTAAAAATTAATATAAAAAAAATTAATAAAACAATAATTAATAAAAAAAAACAATTAGTTAAAAGAATTAAATATTTGAAAAACTATATAAATTAAACATAAATTTAATACTTGAAAATCTATTTAAAATTAAAACAAAAAAAAATTAAATATTTGCAAATCTATCTAAAATCAAAAAATAAATTAAATTGCTTGTAAATTAAAATGTTTGAAAATCTAAATTGGTTTCAAGACTTTTAACGAATAACAAATGTATATTGAAAAATAACAATGCAGAATTAGATTATAGAAAAATTAAAAATTAAATGGAATCCATTTATTTGTATTTTTAGTTTCTTATTTTACTTTTGTGATATATGTAGATAACTATTTGAAAATTAAGATTCCTTTCTATTTATGATGTTTGAAGCAGCATAATTTTTGCGCAAAATTTCACAAATTAACACACTCGTTGCGAGTTTCAGTTTAAGCATGATACTGCATTTATACAAATTATACGCCAATTCTATATATTTGAAATTGCTATAGTTTCAAGCAAATATATTTTTTTTCAATGGAAATTGCACCCACACTCAAACTACGAGTGGTTTTTGAAAAAAAATGTTAAGGAAAAATTCAAAAAAAAATTACAAATACTGACCATGCTCTACAAGCTTACTTACGCGCCGTTATTATCAGACTTCACACTAATTTTATGCTATCGTTCGCACTACATTTGCGGTTTCAAAAACCAATTTTCAGCTGTTTTCTAAAAAAAAATTATAATTTGTAATAAAAAAAAAAAATGTATTAGTGCATGAGACAAAGTATTCAATTCATGGCTATTGCAAGTAACGCCGCTATTTCGCATTAAAAAATGATAATTTCACTTGAAAAACGCTTCCCACCCGATTTTACAACTGTATTGTCTACGGCTTAAAATTTAAATTCTTTCTAAAGCTTGCCACACATACTACCAGGCTGCTCGTACATATGTATGTACATAGTTTTGTTGTTTTGCTATCATTCGCATTATCTTTCTTTCTAAGCTCATCTAGCATACTGAAGAAAAGTTGAAGTTTGAGCATTCTTTACACTAATTTTCTTTACAATTCTTTTTTCTTCACTGCGTGTTTGTTTGTTTGTGTGTGTGTATGTATGTATGTATGTATGTGTATAGTAATCATTAGTTTTTGTTCGTTTAATATCACATGAAACTTTTTTGCTGCTGCTATATCTATACTGCCATTCTACGCTTTGATTCTACTGCAATTCACATACGCAAAGATTTTGGGGAAAAACTTAACTTACATACTAATTTCTGAAAGCATTTGATTGCAGTTACATGTATGTATTATTTAAATCTGCATTCGTTTTCTAACTATATCGCAACTGTTGGCATTCATTCAACGCAATTAAATACAAATAGGCTTTGCATTATTTAATATTATAATTTTTTTTTTTTTTTGGGTCTACTTTCTCATTTTAATTTTTGTTCATAATCCATGTGTGCATTACTTTCTCCTAGCAAGCATATAGTATTCATTTCCATACGCTGCTTCTGCAATTCTTGCTACTTCTACTAAACTTTCTTTCAAACCGTTTCTTTTTTGCTTTTATGTCTCGCGCATTCTATGTGGTAAAAGTTTGACTTTTAATGATTTTCATCGCTCTAACGCCCACTCACTATTTCCTACTATTTTTCCCTCGCTTTGTGTGTATGTGTGTGTTTGTTGCTAGGTAGCTTACATATTTCCTTATAGCTTAGCTTTTCTTAAAATCTACTTCAACTTTTCTGCTCTGCTTAAGCACGCTGCGTCTCCTACATATTTTCTTTACATAGCTGCTGTGGACTCTGCGACATTTTCGAAGCAACGTCCAACATGTTCGTCTGTCCGATCTTATTTATCGCTACTCTAATACCCTTTGCATAGTGTGGCAGCACTACAACCCCAAAACATATTATATAACATTATTATTCAATCAGTGGCGTCATCCAACAACGGTCGTAACTGTGTGTGTGTGTGTATGTGTGTTGTGTCGCACAACAAACATTATTTAAGGTTACGGTTGAATGATTTAGCATTTTTTGCTTAGTTGTTAAATTATTACGTTAAAATAGGCACAGGTTATCAACTATTTCTACTAATATCAGCCCAGTAATTATAGATATAGAATAATGCAAGCACAAATCGTTTCTTGATGCCCCCTCCCCTACACAACTGTACCTTTCAACAAAGCGCCGCTACAGTAATATTATATTGCATGTCTACATACTATTGGCCACAACTCCCGCCGTTTATGTATGGCCCAGTTGTAGGTCTACATGAAGATACCTAAACTCGTACATACTAATTTTTTCCTAGTTGCCTAATAGTGTGCTAGAGAATATGGTGTATGCGCTTTAATAAGTGTGGTACTGTGTGTGTGTGTGTGTTATAAACTGAGCGCGCGCGCAAACTCTTCGTTGTGCTTTCGAAATGCTTCCCATGTCACTTGAGCGCAAGGCAGTCGTTTGGGAGATTTGGATGCTGCTTTTAATGGCTTTGGCAACTCCAACGGTAATGTGCACATAACCGATACAGTCTGCTTGCTGTTGATACGTCTATTTGCTGGTACTAGATCTACTGCTACCCGATTGGTGCTTCTTCGTCCTTCTGTCGTTACCATCACGGTTGCGTTGTTGACCTTTTTTGTTTTGATCGAAATGAGTAAAGAGCAAATAGAAGAAAATATTTCATTTTATGGGTTAGCTGATAGACAGAAAGTCAATGCACACAAAACAAACAATTAACAAGAAAAAACTTTAACTTCGGTTATACCGAAGCTGTACCGTTAACAAATACAAAACTTTTCATACAAGAACTAGATTTTGATCGGTCAGTTTGTATGGCAGCTATATGCTATAGTGATCCGATCTGAGCAATTCCTTTCAGAGATTGTACCGTTGCCTTGCGCGATAATCTCTGCTAAATTTCGTGAAGATTTTTTGTCAAATAAAAAGGCTTTCTATAGAATAATTGGATTTTGTTCGATCAGTTAGTATGGCACTGTAATTTATAAAACTGTAGCGAAAAAATTAAATTGCAATTTTTAAAACTATAATTACAATATTTTACAATGCAATCGTTTGCTTCGTTATTCACGATTAACACGCACGTGACACTACAATAATTACAAAACCAAACTAGTTGGCAATATTTAGATCAGCTGCAAAGTCCAACCCGAAAACCAAAATATATGATATAATATGGTAGAGGACAAGTCAAGGTCATTTATGTAAGACCAAGTTAGATTAGCAAAAGAAATACAACTTTGGTGATTTTCCAACGGAAAACACATACACGAAAACAAAGTGTAGTCACTTTCAATTCGTTCAAATTCTTGTCACAACAACGACAATGAATAGCATTAAATAAATATCGCAAATGCATTGAAAAATATTTTCACAGCAAACAAAAACCGAAAACCTTTAAATAACATAACGGAAAATGTGTAACGAACTGCATTAACTACTAGACTTCACCATGACACGAACACTCTTAACTCCTTAGAGACTCACCTATTCTTGTATTTGTTGACGCTGACGCCGACCCCGAACTGTTCGTCGATGATGTCGAACCCACTGAAGACTCCGACGATATGGAAATTATCGATATTGTCGACGAAGCAGAGGTGAGTGTCGCACGTTGCATTGGATTTGTTGATGGGCGGGATGATATTGTTGACGCGGGTGATGTAGTTCTGGCGTTGTAACGTTGTTGACGCATCGCTGGCTGTTGCACACGTTGTTGACGCACTTGCTGTTGTTGTTGTTGCTGTTGTGACGGACGTTGTGTGTAACGTGATCGATTATTATTATTATTGTTGTTGCTATTGTTGCCATTGTTATTGCTGTTGCCAATATAGCTGGAAGTAGCACTCGTACTTGTCGCATTCGTATACGACTCGGTAGAAGACGATTTGGATATTTGTTGTTGTTGCTGTTGATATTGCTGCTGCATTGGCGGTGGCACATAGAATTGACGGCGATTTGTGGGGCCGGAAAATCTTTGCTGCGCTTGCTGTTGCTGCTGCTGTGCGTGCAACTGTTGTTGCTGTTGCTGTGTTTGTTGTCGGGGCGGGGATAATTGCTTTTGTTGCTGCGGCGGTGAGTGTTGCTTTTGTTGCCGCGGCGGCGATTGCTGCTTTTGCGGAGGCGGACATTGTGTGTGCATTTGTTGTTGTTGCTGTTGCTGCTGCTGCTGCTGTAGTACAAACTGTTGCTGTTGCTGGATCGGCAGTTGCGTTAGCTGCGGCTGTGCTTGCAATTGGGAGGAGGCTGGCGCTTGTTGTTGTTGTTGTTGTGACAGCTGCTGCATATGTATACTCGCTTGCAGTTGTTGTTGTTGTTGATGTTGCTGCTGCTGCTGATGTTGTATTTGCTGCGTAATCTGTGCATATTGTGGTTGTTGATGATGTTGTTGTGGACTAAGTTGTTGCTGATTGATCTGGTGCAGCGGCAGTGGCAGCAGCGTTGTTGGCGGTGGCTTAATTAACAATTTTTGACGAACACTTATTTGACTACTAGCGCCACCACCATTACCACCAATACTATGTGGACTAGCAACAGCAGCGATATGGCCGCTCACATTTACACCACCAGCACCACCAACACTGCCACTGTCTTGAACGTTGGTACTGGTGTTGATTAGAGAGTTGACAGCGATGTTTGTGGTTACACTGGCGACAGTGTGATTGCTAACCAATGACGCTTGTTGATACTGCTGCTGTTGCTCTTGGATTTCTTGCTGCTGCTGTTGTTGTTGTAACTGCTGCTGCTGCACCAGACCAGCAACTATTCATCATGTATCCATACGAGACATTGTATGAATATTCGCGGAAGAGGTCATGGCGGTTGGCGCCGCAGACGTTGCCGGCGCTATAATAAGTGGATTGCTTACCGGTGGAGATGACGTTGAGTCTACATCACATTCTTTGCTATCCTCCGAGTCCTCACCCGAGGAGACACTACTCCGTCGTAACCGATGCGCCATCACGGCCTGTTGTTGATGGTACAATTGTTGCTGCGCCAGTGGATGCATGTGCTGATGCTGCAGTGGTGGTGTCAGAACGCCAGGTGGTAGCATCGACGGAATGAACTTAACGGCACTGCCACTATTGGGCGTATGGGGGATCACAAGATGCTCAAAATGTTCACGTATCCACTCACGATAATCGATTACATCATCGGTAACACGTATTATACGCCCTGCATGAGAAAATTGAAAAAATTATTGAAACAAGTAAATAGCGACTTCACGTAGTTGCCGTTAGTACAATGGAAGTTACCTAGTATGGTGCGTTCGGCGCAATTACTACCGAATTCGTTGAGTGGACTCACAGCATTAGCCAACAGCATGTACGCATATTCGAAGGCTTGTTTCACCTGCAATGCACCATAAGAACTGCGACCAATATCGTTGCCTGGCGTAAGCGGGTCCTCAATGCACAACAACGATGGACGATGACCGTCGATCATTTCGCGTTGGAGATCCTCCTTAGGTATATAGCGGCCGCCATTTTTGATCGATATACCGATCTTCATGTAATTGAACTTACGTCCGTAAAGTTCGAAAAATTCCAGCAACAGCACACCCAAGTTTGCTTTGTCATGATCGATTTGTAGCGGGTGTAATTGTAGGAAGCTAATACACATCAATATCAGCGAATAGGAGGAAATGCCACCGGTAAAAACTTCATTGAGATCACGTTGAAGCAGAAATTGTTTTAATACAAGCACCAGTTTCGCTAACAGTGGAAATTCCTGTTTGTATTTCTTAATTAATTCGGCCGATTGCACACCGGACTGCATATTAAATGAAATATCGACTTTCACTTGTGTTTCGCGGTCTGTGAGCTTGATGATGGGTACCGAGGCTTTGTCGAGTACACGCACCGAATGTGGCTCAGCAATGCCGCGGGCAATCAGTTCTGTTTCGAGCGTGCGCAATGGCGCTTTTTCCCATAACCCTGTTTGTGGGAAGAAATTGACATGTGTACTTACTGATATTTATGGTACATTTGTTTTAATAATATAAATATTTTTACAATTTTCTAACAAAAAAACAACGAAATAAATGTATATTCTTTGTTGCTAAATTAAAGTTTTCTTAATGTTAGGCTACACTCACCTAAAACAACCAAATCAATATCCGATGTGGGCAGAAACAAACCCGTCCGAAAGGAACCGAATATCTCTACAATCGCTTTTGGCCATATTGAGTGCACCACCGCCTCGATGCGCTGTACGACTTCGTTGCGTATGGCATGTTCGGTGGGCGTAGGTAATACGTAATTGTAAAACTGTTCAATTTCCTGATGTAAACCGATAACTCCGCGTCCATATTCGAAGCCCGGCACACGCCAAGGACAGCCTTTGTACTTGATTACCAATTTACCCATATATTTGTTGACGTTGAATGTGCTCGCTTTATTGTCTACTATGCGCCCAATTTTCCTGCGCGATGGATTATAATAACTTGGACGATCGTGTGACGGCATTTTCGTGCTATTATTATCACCGCCTCCTATGACTGGTGTAGTGGCCGGTGTGATACAGTCGTTGTTACTCGTCGAGTCAATAGAATTGTTGCTGGATGTATTGCCACTATTTGTGCCGCTACTACCGTTGTTGTTATTATTATTATATATGGAATTGCGCAAGCCGCCGTTGCCAACTTGCTGTAGTAGCAATTGTAATGAATCACGATCGCGTGCACTTAACGTTCCGTTCAATTTGCCGTTGCCAACGCTTTGCAGTTGTTGTAATTGTTGGCTCTGTTGTTCCAACAATTGGCTCATATCATGCGCATTGGTCTCCCAAATTTTACACCATGTGCGTAATGCTGGACCCTCCTGTTCCTCTTGAAACCAGCCGACAAAAGGATCCATTCAAAGCAGTCTTCTTCTCACGGAACGGGAATTGTATGCGCAATCCTCTTGGAGTTTCGCGTCGTCCGTTACGAAGCGTTGCGCGCTAAATAATTAACTATTGTCTTCTATATAGATCAAATTGCACCATTGACGACCATAAACGAAACGAATAAGAAGTTTTCTTGCAAACTCGTTTGGCAGTGTGGTAATTACACCGAAAATGCCAGCATTTGTACCGGCAGCGAGTTGGAATCAACGTACTTAGCCCGCTTTATAAGATGCTAGCTGCAAAATACGATAATTTAATAAATAAATATGAAACGGTTAAAAAATATTATAAACATAATTCACATAACCAAATGCGAACAATTTTAAATAAATTTTTGCTCGTAAGTTGTAAATTGAGAACCAAAATATAATATAATTGAGTACTTTCATTTTCTATTTGTGGTATTGTCCCACACCTAATAACATACGAAATTTTACATGTTTGCTAAGAAATTAAAAAGTAAGAGAATGTGTAAGGGTAAATCAATTAGCACATCTAGATAACGAACGAATAGGCGGTACTAAGTAATAAAGAGTGTTTAAACGCAGACACCATAATCAACTCACGAGACTTCACAACTATAACAAGGTTGATGATAGTGGGTGGAAATGCGATCGTATGGTGAATGTAGCTATAAGACAACCAAAAATTTATATTTTTTTATGAAATATGTCTATTACATCGCAGATAAGAAACTATACACCTTTCAATATTTTTTCGTGGAATTCCGAAAATTTAATTCATTAAATTGTAACACAAATTACATGAACTGTGCACCAATGTTTCTAAGATAAAGTTGTCAGTATGCGATTATTATAACTGACATATACTAATCGTAAGACAAATAGGTGATGGCAAACAAGTGGTGGCCGTAAAATGACCATAACCTCAAACATTTTTGTTGCGGTTTAACGGGCTGCGTTGATTTTTTGCTTTGGAAATAAGCGCAGATATGCAAAATATCTAACTGTCCACTAGTTTCCATAACATTACACGAATACTTTTGGTAAAAGATATTTTCCAAAATTTTTAATATTTTTCTCCACCAACTTTGATACACATATAATTTGTAGGGGATGAAATTCTGCTTGTCTATTTCCATGCCGTTTATAATAAACGTATAACGTCCTTGTAATTGGACACCATATATCAGCTGCTTTATAGAATTGCCTACTAAGGCTAATACAGTTAACGTATTTTCAATTGCAAACAGCAATTACTTTGAAAATATTAATACGTATGAAAACTTCTCCTATGATTTAATAAATTATCTGCTCACCCACTTTTAGCACTTTTTCTTTTCATTCTCTTACGTAGAAAATTATATGAAAAAAATCAGCGAATATCATAGGAAAGAGAACTGATAAAACGTAATGACAATTAAACGCAACATGGCGACACCTAGCATCCACAGCACCGGACAGCAACGACCGATGTCGTGCGTCGTCAGATCGAGGACTTGAAATAAGACTTTATATGGCAAATAAGCAGTCAAATTCACTTGTCTATTAATTCACCCATACAACCGCATCGTTTTGTGATTTACACTCTTTTCCTAACGTATATATGTATATATATTCGTACATATTTTAAATGTGGTTAGATTTTATGCACTAATTGAAGTCAATTTTGTTGTTTTATACGACACTCACAGTTTTCTTTTGTAGATTTTCATCCGCAATACAATTATAAATATTGAAGAGTTAATATTACTCGGAAACTTTGTCTTTTTAATTGCATACAAATTATTTATTGTTTTTTCTTAACTTTACTTAATTCAGCGCTGACAGCGATAATTTAGGAAAAAAAAAATATATCACTCGTTGCCACTGAATTCGCGCCCGTAAATACGTACCGCCTATAATGAACGTATTGCCAGCAAAATGTCTGTGTGTGTGTATATGTTCGTAGTTATTGGAACGCCGAGTGGAACGTGAAGTGAGCGGGAGTGTTGAGTTTATCTGAATCGAGGTGAAGTTGCTTTTTATTACTGTAAATTGCCAGCGGAGCGCCCTTTTCCAACTTTTTTCCCTCTTCTCGTTCTTCTCGATAGCGATTGCCACTCACAATCAGATATCTCGAAGGTGTTCGAGAAATTTTCGGCTTTCTCACTTCGCACTTATTTTACACACTTTTTCTTTATAAAACAATATATAGCCATTATTTCGCTTCACTTTTAATACGAACAAAATGAATTTTTAGCACTATTGCATTAGATTATTTGCCGTGAAAAAATCCGCAAGAACGAGTACGAGTCGACAAATTTTCAACCACGCTTCGAATGATTTTTTCCGTATTCTACAGTCCACAAAGTAGATTGAAAAGTACCAGAGATGCCAACTCGAACATATTCGAAAATTAGATAGAATTGAATTCAAAATTGGAACTAAGTCAGCAAAGTTTGATACAAACGCTCAACAATGGAGCCAACATGTAGAACTTCCTATAAGACACGCACGAAAATCGTTCAATTTGTATTTTTACACTTTTAATTTATAAAATTGCGTGAAGGTGGAACCTAATTGGATTATAGTCCAGCAGCAGATGTCGCCTTAATCAGTTAAATTTCACTTTTTAAAATTTTCCTATCCGACGTCTACACCAGAGAATGTTAATGAATAGAGAAGGCGCAAATGTTAGTTGTGCTAAAATGTAAACTAATAAAATGGAACATCAAAAATGCGCAAGTAAATTATGCTATTAAAGTAATTGAATTGAAATTACCTAAAATCTCAAATAATAAAATAAAATTAAAAAATAAAGATTTATGATTTACAGGATTCGATCATAGCGTTTGTATTCGGAATGGCTTAACTCCTTGACGCTTACGACCTGAGCCACTGCAAAAGTGGAATCGCGGCCGCTTAGCCACTGTTTTATTGTTATCTTTTGCCTATTAGATATTTTTCATGCAACGCACAAAAATGTGTTGAAGAATTAATCTATTAATTCCTTATTTTGTTGTTAATTCTGCTGCTTTAACCAATAATCCTCTTATATAATTTGAAGGATTATTTTATATTACAAAAATTATGATTTTTGTAATATGCAAATGTAAATCAGCATGAGCATAATTCATTTAAGAACATTCGTTGTGTCTATTTATAGCCTTTTCCCGGCTTCGATCATTGCGTGGTGGATTTCAAACGAGTCGAAGTTGTATTTTTCGATGTTCCCTCTTGTGAAAAGCTCAATTTAGTACTAGTTTATACTATAGTATATTCATGAATTGATGTCAAAATAAGAGTATATCAATCTATTATATTACTAATTTTGTGCAAAAATTTCAAAAAATTGGTTTCCATGACAACGGCATCTTGAAACTATTATTGATTGTCAAGTCGCTTGCAGCGTAGTCGTGGCTGTAAATTTAAATCAATGTGAACACCTTGAAAGCAAGTTCTTGATCGTGTGACTGCAGCCTAATGTTTAACAACAACAATCATTCATATATCGAAAAATAATCTAAATTGGTTGCTTTATTACTAAATTAAAACAAATCATAATTAAAAGTTTATGAAGCAAATATTTTATTTATACTTTATAAGATATTAATATATATAATAATCCATGACTAATTTTAGTCGTAAACATATATAAATAATTTAATTTAAAAATTATATTTAATGAATTTATAAAAAAATTTAGTATATATGGTATATATTAAAGGTTGAATTTTGTGTACGTTGAAGTTACCCAATTGCAGTACTCAATTTGACAACAAGTGTTTATTTACAAATTCAATTATTTGTAAAGTCTGGCTACGTATGGAGTTCCAGCTGGTTTTGTTATTATTCGTACTTACAAAATTATAGAAACTTTTACTTTTGGACTATTTAGTACAGCAGGTTTAGAAATAAAGAATTTGTCATGGATGATACGGAACTTACAAGGTAATAGCGTGAACATAATTTGCTAGTAAATATATGTAAAATTTTCGATATATACAGGTTAGCAATAGCTGAAATAGTGCGCGAAATGGGTGAGGTTAAAGAGCCCGCTGTGCAGGAGCGCAAGATAAATCCGATAGCAAAGGCAAACAAGCGATTCCTTGGACGTACGCTGAATTCAGTGTTGTCACATAACAAACGTAAAAATGACCGAACTCAGGAGAATTGCAGAAGAAAGCTGAAAGAACTCGATGAGAGGCGTGAAATAATTAATAGAATGAAATCTAGAAGTCGATCTGGCAGTTGGGAACTTGTATTGAGTAGCTCCTCAGATGAAGGTAATTCCAAGGTTGTGAGGAAACGAAAACAACATGAAAGAAAAATTAGAAATAAGAAGCACAAAAAGCTTAAAAAGAGGAAACATAAAACTAAGAAAAACAGACGTGCAAGTAGTAGCAGCAGTGAGAGTAGTAGCGAAAGTAGCTCTACTACAAGCCGCAGCAGCGGCCGAACTAAGAAAAGTAAATTACGGAAGAAATCTAAATCCAAAAAGCGTAAGATTCTGCAACCTGAAATGAACACAAATGAATATGCTACAGAGGAAACCTACTATGAACCAGATATAAATGCTGCAATAGAATTTGATGCTGCCCTAATGGCCAATAATTACCGGCAACATCAAATACAGCAACTGTTATATTATAACGCTTTAATGGCAGGTCACGAAACCACCGAAATTGACGCCTTAAAAGAGGAATTGCGTATTAGTGACGCCGAAGTAAGTGAAACCCGAAAAGAAAATGTATCTATTTGTAGTGCTGTATCGTCATTGAACTTAAATGAAAGTGATTCCGATGGCAGTGAAATGCTGCAGATAAGTCTATCATCTGCCACATCGAGTAATAGTGAAAATAAAGGTAACACAAGTATAAAAAACATGAAAGTGAAAAGAAAATATACGGAGGAGCGATTATCTAGTGATAGTTCGGATGCAGTTATATGGGAATTAGACTCGGATAGTTCAAACGGTGATAAAATATTAGAAATAAAAGGTGATTTAGAAACAAAAGGTGGTTCAGAAAATCAAACTGAAAATGACGATTGTATTTGTATAACATCCGAATCTGAAACAACTACGGATGGTGACAGTGAGTCGGAAAGTTCAACTAACGAAAATGATATCGCAAGTGCAAATATTATACATAACAATGTTTGTCACGCTGCAGCGGAAACTGTTACACTTCTCAGCTCGTCTGATAGTGAAGTCGAAATTATAACTCTAAATGGAGCTGATGAATCTGCGCAAAAATTAGACGACTCATTTATGGCAGCAATAACACCTCAGTCTACAGATTTAACGCCCGCATCTGAGCAACAAACGCATTTAGTTTTATGTGTAACTGAGACTAATGGAATTTCCATACCAAAGGAAAGTCTATCGACAGTTATAGATGATTCGGTTGTTACAGCGACTGATAAGACTTCAAACTTGTCAGTTGACGTAAACTCATTAATAACTACTACCGAGTGTTCACCATTGCTAATAAAAATTGGTGCAACGGAAAGTGAAATGCCAATATGTGAAGTGCAACAACCATTAGCTTTAATGCAGGAAACTGAGAAACTGGAAGCCAACGAGAGTACAACACTCACATTAGTAGCACCCACCAACCATATTATCGAAGCACTGTGTGAACCAAATTTAACTGACGTGACAACTGCTGGTACAGATGTTGAGACAACGGCATTGAAATTGAATTTTGATTCACTGGAAGCCGACGAGAGTACATCAACCACATTTGTAGCGGCCGCACACCCAATTATTGAAGTACAGTGTAAATCAAATTCAAGTGACATGACTACTGTTGGTACAGAAGTTGAGGCAACGACATTGAAAACGATTTACGAGCAAAAAAACATTATATCGGAAGCTGAAATTAGCAATAAGATAGACAATGTGCCGTTAATGGAGTCAGTAGACGAAATACCACCAAATTTATTACCCTCATCACCAACTGATCCTTCAGTAAGTTCATCGCCTGCATTATCGTCGCTAACACCTATAACTACCATAGATAATACAGAATTGGATTTAGGTTTAATACAAAATCAATCAGCAATAATTGCGTCCGAGTCAGTTGATGAGCATATTTCATCCTAATACTTTTAGTAGGCTCCTCAGTATTTGAACAACATATAACAGAAAATATTCAATTTACTTTTGTATCTCAAATAATAATATTTATAATTTTTGATGTGAATTTTGCAACAATAAAACGGTTGTTCAAGTTACTGAGAGTGTACAGTTAAGTGAAATGTGCGAGCGACACAATGTCATTGTAGTTTTAGATTGTAATTATTAAGTTTCATGTATGTATGTATTTACATAAATTAATATAATTATAGTAAAATTATGTAAATATGAATTTTAAGAATATATTTCTATGAAAACAGTTCTTTTTTTTTATTTTTTTTTTCATTTGGTTAGCTTGAACATATCTGATTATTATTAAACTTAGCAAAGGGGTTATGCATTGCTAATGTTAGTAATGTAGTTTTTTTTAATTTCATTTAAAACTTCGAATTATCGTTGGAATTAATAACTTCATACCATTGTACAAAGCTCATTATATAAATCTAGATTATACATGCTTTATACAAAATTGTACTGGTTGGCAACTCGACCGTGACTTGTTGACGTTGGTCTGTCAGCTGATTCTGTTTACCAATTAATTTCATTTATTTTTATCCTTAGTAATTTGTATTTGAAAGAATTGTGCCAAAATATCGCCAGCATAATGTTTGGAGGCTTACGCAAGAAACTAAATAGCGTTATCCAGGAGGGACTTATCATTACAGACAACTTACAGCAACAGTATCGGCAAAGCCGAACTTCTTCCGCCAGCAGTAGTGCGACGACACCCACTTTAGATGAAAGTATACACAGCAATCGCAGTTCCAGCTCTTTTGGGGGGCAACTGCCGGGAAGTGATGTGATACTGCCCGGAGATGTGAATATGGCGGCGGGTTGCAATTTACTTGCGAAATACGAAGATGCGTGGAAATTAATGCATGAAGCGAATGAGAATAATGTGACAAAAGCGGCACAAGTTGCCAAACAAATCGAACGAATTGGACAAAGTACAAATGTGCTACATACCGATATGACTGATTTAGCAACTTGCTTAGCAGGTATACCCGCGTTGGTCGCCAAATTACACGAAAGCTTAGAAACATTGCAAATTGTTAATAAATTAAGCGCAACGGTAGAAACGGAATTGGAACGTTTGGAAGACTTATGTGAGGAGTGTGAACTGCAAGAGTTCATGCTAAATAAGCAATGTGAATTATCACAATTTAAACAAATGAAAATGGGTGCGCATATTTTATATAATTTGGTTACTGCTGTTATACCCTTCTACTATATATTTGCTTACAGTTGAATTAGAATCTTATCGACAATGTGTTGCTGCAAAGCATCAAGAAAGGATAAGACAACATGAACAAAGCTTACGGCGCATACAACGCGAAAGGCAAGCAGTATTTGATGATGCATTCCGTGGCGATTTGGCTGAATTCAAGTCAAAAGGTGCGCTAACCAGTAAGTATATTTGTAGACACCTACAAACACAGACAGTAAAAATATAAACTACTCTTTTGAAAGAAATCCAAAAGGAGGAGCCGTCAGTGTCAATTGCACTCGAGGAAGTTGTTTTGGAAGACAACACCACCAAAGATGCTCTCGAAGATTTTCTTAATGGATAACGAATTATATTGCTATGCACATAGTTATCGTGTATATACATACATATATATATAGAACAATTTCATTGAAATTAGTGCCTTTTACGTAGTTGAATATTTTGCTCATATATGCGTATTATTTATATTATTATATGCAGTTTTGCATTTCACATTTACAAAATACTAATTAATGTAAGATAAATAAAAATCTCAACAATTATTTATTATTATTGTATTGAATGAATTTTCTGTTTTTTTTTCGTTAATACCGTTACAAAAAACTTCTTGGACAAATGCAACTTAATAGATATACAACTTCCGCAATCTTTGATGCAATATTCGAAACAAGTTTGCTTGATATAATTTTTGTTGTGTGAGATATGTGTCAACTATTTATAGCTAGATTAAAAATGACTGTAGCAATTATAACTAGAAGAGTTCGAAGAAACATGGTCTTTAATTACAAATTTCAGACTTTCCCTAACGGTTTCTGGTAAGCTCGCATTATCGGTTCCGATGTCGGTATGAGCTTTTTTCGTTAAAATATATATGGTTCCATTTGCTTATCATTTGAAAACACAACAAATTTGACAAATATTAGTTTAGCTGACCCTTGTTATCTTTGGTATGTGCATAAAAACTATTTCGTTAGGGGTCACGCCAATTTGTGTTGAAAAGCAGCGTTAGCTGCAACTTGTTGCAAACATAAAAGAAATGTTCGCTCAATATACTAAGGACGCTATATATGAACCGAAAGTGAGAGACTTTTTACAAATTATTTTTCGAAAAACATTTTCCTGAGCAAACATTAAAAATTAAATTTAATGTGTGATAAATCGCTTACAAATACACCGAAAAATAAAAATAATTTCAAAATTCATATCAAAGGTCAAATTATGTTAGCTTTTCGGCAAATATGTGTGCAAAACCAAAATAAATATTGTATTACTAAATATGCATTACACACTATTGCATTGAGAAATTGAATAAAAAAAGGTATTTGCACTAAAAAAACACAAACCAAACCAGTTCCGAGCTGAAAGTCTACACTTTCTCCAGTTTCTAACCAGTTTGCACGATGATAATCTCATCAATTCCTGCAGCAGCCTTCGAATCTAACTAGCATAGTCAAAGCTTAAACATATCAATGTAAACATATACATGTGTACGAGTATGTATACAAACAGCTATTCACATATGTGCTTGTATAAGTACAGTTATGCTGTGTGTTCGTAGCGGAAAAGGAAGTCACTTGCCAAAGGTGCTGTCGAGTGGAAAATTTCGATATTGTTGTTTGTTTTACGATTGTATTCGTGTTCAAATGCGCGCATACACACACATACATGCATACACACATACATATATAGAATACAGTTACATGTTGACACCATTTATACTATGTAAAAGAAAATGTAAATAAAAGTTGAAGCGGAAATACTTGTGCAACCGAAACCGTTTGTTTCTATGTGTGTTTGTATATATGTATAACAGTGTAGCTTTGCGTCCTTGAGTAGACATGCCGTCTTTGTATAAGATTTATGGACAGCATTGACTTTCTGAAAACCCAAAATCTACTTAGAAAGGCAAAAATACGCAATAGAAAACAGTTACACGAAGCAAGTGGTTTGACACAGAGGTGTGAAGTTGGCAAGAATCAAATTATAACAGCATACATATACATGTGCACTTGTATAGATGCTGTAACAGCTGTTACTCATTTATACCTATTTCAAATTCTTGCAGACTTTGGCAAGCGCACACCCACACACACACACAAATTCTCATAGTTTTCATAGCTATTTGGTAGGTAGGTGTACAAATGCCAATAAATTGCAAATAAATGTGACAATCAGCTATGCCAATGAATAGCAGCGCCTTAAAGTATGCTTGTCGCGAATTTTAAGTTAGCTTNTTTAATATATATCTACTATTATTATGCTAGCCCTCATGTGTACTGGTTTTGTATCTACATACTAACTGAACTTCAATAATTGTACTCATGAAGCCTAACCTTTACAATTACACCTCTCTCTATCGCGTGCACATCTTATGCACGCTTACTAACAACAATGCCAAACACATTATTATAGAATTTGTATTAATTTACAATTTGCATTTCAGTCAAAACTTTGTCGTTCTAATTTCTGCCTCTGTTTAGTGTCAAAGTTTGCTTTGATTGTGGTAATTAGCCGGAAGCCATTATTTGGCTGGCATAGATAATTGCCATTAGACGTATAGCTATGAAATTCGCTGTTCAAAATTTATGGCTTTCATGATATAAAGTGTCATATTTTGAAAAATTCAAGCCTACAACCACAAATTACTGATTTATTAGATAATAAAAATCACCAAAGTTTGAGCTATTAATTTTTATGTATTTTGTATATAAAGGAGGTTCTTCTTTCGAAAATGAAACTTGCATGAGAAGCGATTTGAATAATAGTTTAAATTAGGTTTTGGAGTTATCCATATGATAGAGAGACCTTCGGCTCTTTGTGATGCCAAAAAAACAATTAGCTATTGAACAAGATAACTTCATCTTTGGCTGAGCGAATCGGACCATTCGCTTCGATTACTGAATGTATGAAATCCTTATATCTAGCAAAAGCCTGACAACCTTTTTAATTTTAGCTTCTTGCACTACAATTAATTATCTTATTTCACTCCCAGACCTTTTCAAAATATACGCACTTGGACGGTTTGCTATAAATTTTTCAGCACACGAAGCTTGAAATATAAAGACAATATAGGTCTAGAAGACCTTTTCATAAAATGCTAGAGAATTGATGAATATATTATCAGCGAAATTATTCGCGTTCGTATTCTATAGATTGCACGGCAATTCTACCATATTTTCTAGAACTTCTCGCCGAACCAACGTTCAACGTCCATATATTAGTGCTTTTGTTGTTTAAGGATGTGTTTCCGGTTAAATGTTTTCGAGGTCTGTACTTCGGAAAATAAAATCTTATTATCTTCAGAAAGCTTTTGTGATGTAATCAGTAGACTATCCGAAAAATTAGAAACACAAATAGATTGTAAAAGGATAGCCATAAACGAGAGTCAAAAGCGAGAAAAAATTTTTTTTGGTTTAAACTCTTAACATTTATATAAAAATTACCGAATGTGACGGTTTTTGACTTAAAATTTATTTTAACGCTTAAGGAAAGCATGTTGCCGTTTCAGAATTTTTTTTTTTAAACTCCAATAATGACCACAAAAAATTTTTTTAATTTGATAACTTTTAATTGGCTAGAAAGAGGACTCTCCACAGCTTCTAGAACACTTGTTAAATTTTTTACGAAATACAAATTTTAACTCGAAATTTTCTTGACAAGTGCGTGCGCGGCCTCTAGATATTAAAAAAATTTTTTTTTTGTGCAAAAATTTTCTTTTTTTATAATCTACAGATTTTACCCTCAGGCTAAGCAAAAAAATATTTTTTTTTTCTCCCCTCCCTAAAGTATACCGACAAAAAAAATTGACATACTTGAAGTTTCAATCCGCTCATTGCCTTCTCGCCACGTTCAAAAATATATATTCTGTGTAATTCTACCCATTTCCAACAACGTCTGCGTTTATATAACAAAGAAGAATATTTGTATTCTTTTTATATCCTACATATGCATTTATCCATGTATAACAATTGTTGTAAGTGCATTTGAGCATATTTTCTTTCTTATTATCACTTACAAGTTCCAAATTCCAAGTTGACACACGTTAAAAAATAAAAAAAAAGTTTTAAAAATTAATAAAAATGAAATAAGTTGGTGCGAAAGTTCGAAAAAGTTATTTCAACGCTTACTTTGTACTTCCAACGATTTTTTTTCCCGCACTTTTATTATTTGACCGCCCCACACACTTTTCATAACCCTTTGCTTTCAAGAACAGCCTGCTCTCCTTATCCTTTCTACTTTTTATTGTTCTTTGCAGCAAAAGTTTTTCATTATACTGCATTACATAACTCATAACTTAACTACTTCGCGTTCGAGCGCTGTTAGTTAGTGGTAACTGCAAAAATACAACTCTTTTGAAACGTTGCATACACTTAGGCGTTGTGCGGAAATAATGCACAGTTCTTGAAGAGCAATGAAATAAAAGTAAAATACAATATTTTTGTCACTCTTCAGTAAGTGCCGCACACTTGAGGAGAAATTTGCAAGTCCTACCGTTAACTCTTAAATCACCTCACCACATCAACCACAAACACCGTAGAAACCGCAACTAAAACAATCCAACCGCTAACAATGTGTGTGTCCGTGTGCCATTAAAGGGTTAGCTTAAGCTTGCAATTACTGCGCTGCGGTTGCTCCCCCTCCCCCCACAGCGCCTTGTTTATCTCAGTTTCCGCAATCGCCTCTTCCCTTCCGCTCCTTTGCTTATTTTATGAAGTGTTTTAATGCAATTATGACTGCATTCAGCGCCATGTGAATTACGTGTCCGAACGACTGCAACAACAATGCGCCCAATTCCTGCATCACCACTATCAACAACAACATCACTTCAGTTACAATTACACCACAATCAGAACATTAAGTTGCCAGTTGGTTTCCCGTCTGTGTGTGAGTTTAGATGATATCAACGCGTGTCGGCAAACACCAATGCTATCGCACGCCAAGTTTGCTCTGTGTTGAGGGCGGCTACCGACGTGACCACATACTTTGCCCCGCTCTTCCCTCTCTGTTCTTCCGTCAGGCGATTTTAGACATCGTTTCCGGCCGTTGCGGAGCGTTGCAATTTTTGGTTATGCCAAACTCATGCTCATGTGGTATATTATATGTGTATGCATGTGTGTGTGCGTGTATGTGTGAGTGTATGTTTTTGTGCATACGTGTGTATACGTCTGAGTATTTGTGCGTTTTGCCGTTTATTCTCTGCTTTGCCATGAAAGCAAATGCAGTTTTTAGGCATTTAATGAAATGTGCGTTGTTGCGTATGAGTAATATTTGGCATTTGCAGTTTTGCTTTCATTTACTCGCCATTCATGAAGGTATATATATATTTATATACAAAAGCGGCAAGAACATTTGCACTTCGAACAATTAAAATGAAATTAGTGAATGCAAAATAATTGTGCGGCTTTCAAAGTAATCGCTTAAGCGGAAGCAGATTGCAATGGAAAAGGTAAGCGGTAGAAAAAAAGAGTCAAAGCTACATATTGTACATATATTTTGAAGTGAAAACGAAGAAAACTTAAAAGCGATTTCTATCAATTCTTGG